CCTACCTACTACTACTACTACTACTACTACTACTACTACTACTCTCTCTCTCTCTCTCTCTCTCTCTCTCTCTCTCTCTCTCTCTCTCTCTCTCTCTCTCTCTCTCTCAAGCCCCAAATCCTCTTCCCCTGCAACTCTCCCATGGCTACCATTAACACGCATCTCTTCCCAAGATGCTTGTAGACAACCCTTAAACTCGCACGGCAGATGGCAAGTCCTCCTATTTTCCTATTTTGTCTAAAAACCAAACAGAAGTAGAGGTAGAGGAGCCACAGCTTCTCTGTCATTACTGCTACCCTATGTTTCTTCCTCTCCCACCATCGAAGTGGCCTATTGGAGACTCAACAGGCCTATAAATTTAAGATTTCCACCATAGTTGTAAAACCCTAAGAAAAACCATTTGCATCCCTCCCTTCCCCCCCCCCCCCCCCCCCTTCTTCTAAAGAAAACCCATTAACATAGGCTACTAGTGGTGCATGATTGCTTCAACCCTTGGAGCTCTCTTGTGAATGATGTCATAAGGGGAACATACCCTACCTTGAACTCCATCGTAATAGCTTGCTTAGTTGCTGCTGCTTTTGCCACGATGATAGAGTTAGCCTACTCTAATTGCTCTATAAAGACCGTGAACATGGCGGCCAACTTTAAGGAACTGTGGAAACCTCTGGTTGTTGGTCTTAAGAGCTAAGATGCAGCAAACATTCAAGGAAGTAAAAAAAAGGAAGCTATTGCTACCCTCCTCAAGAGAGAAGCCGAAATCATTGATGCCATCATTAGACCTATATTTTTTAATCTTCATCACTATCATTTTCATGAGGCAATTCCATCTCTAATATGAAAATTTCTCATGTTAATTAGTTTTTCTTTTCTTATCTCAGGAGGTTTAGAACTTTTTTCACTCTGGGTATTGTTATTACTTGAGAAATCTTTAATGGAAAAGTTTGGCTATTTGAAATTAGACATCTTGGTATGAGACTAGGATGTTTAAAACTATTTTTGCTATCAATGGTTTCTCGATTTTTGAGAAGATTAAACTCTTTTTCTATGGTCCATCACCAATCAGGGTAGGGAGTAAGGCCATCAAAGAAGAAAAATAAAGGGGAATTAGAAATATATATATATATATATATATATATATATATATATATAT